GAAAAGAATGTCATTGATATGATAAATATAAATAATATGCACGTACGTAGTAGGACGAGAGATATGTAAGGAAGAAGGAAGGTTGGTTGTTTCGTTGCGTTATAATACAAAGAGACACAGATTGGAAGTAAAAAAATAGGAAAAAGGGTAAGGTAGATGGGAGAAGAAGGCCGTGTTAGGGGACTCGTAATTCTTGAAATATCTCCCGATTTTTAAATCTCGAAGTTCATTTTCCTCTTTGGCTTTTAATAAGATCTGTGCTTCTTCCTTTTCACTGAATATATTATAAAGTGCTGACTCTTCCCCTACACACTCCCTTTCACTTTCCAGATTAGATTGCTATGCCTCTTCACACACTGTGCTCTCTCTCTCTCTCTCTCGCCATCTCACAATCACTGTCGAGCAACCACCAAATACGCCACAACACAACCACCTTTTCTATTCCCTCACGATATTAAATATAATCACTGCGTTTTGTTCTTCTCATCAGAAATCAGAAGCCATCACCAGCCTCCCGCACAAGCTTCTCTGATCTCTCTCTCTCTCTCTCTCGTTCATTCTTCACTGATCACAATAATGAAGGCAAGTAAGCTCTTGAATTTCTTTCAGACCCAGATTACTATGAATGAATTGATGTTTCTGATATATATCAGTATATATACGCGCACACTGATTGATGAAGCTTAGCTTATTGTTAACGTACGTGCCTTCACTTGGCCTCTGTGAATTTTCAGTTCTTCAGCTGGGTGCAGAACATCAAACTCGGAGCTGCAGCGAGGCAAGATAACAGATCAAATCCAAACCCTATTCATCAACTACTTGTAAGCCCCTTAGTTCATTCATGTCTATTTTCTTTCTTTCTTTTCTAATTAATGAGCATGCGTGTGAGGGTGGTTTACACACACACACACACAACAGAGCTCATTTGATTGTTGAGTTGCGACAGAAATGGAAATGATATGCTTGAAGTATGTACAATAGGGGAGAGAGAATCTGAGATGTTCAAGTTTTCAGTCTAGATGTGTTCAAGTTTGCTTTTCCAAAAACAGAATAATTGAAAATGAAGCCCTCTAGCTAGGTCCGATCTATATATGCTTTCACGACTTTACTTATAATTTATAAATACTAAATTTCTTGATATAATATAATACTGAATTAAATTTAACGACTATTTTTTTTTTTTTCACTTAGAAGCTGTATGGATTTTTCTAAATTTTATCTAATATGAGAGTGCTAGTTATTGTTTACTCATAATTAAAAGATATTTTACAATGGAGCGCTATTATAACAATGGTTGAGTCTAATATAAGATACAATCATTCAGTAAGTTTTAATTTCTTGGTTTCTTGTTTGCTCAAAAAAAAATTTGTTGGTTTCTTGTACGTTCAATTTCAATCTCATTGCTCAGTCCAAAAAAATTTCAATCTCATTGCAGCTAATTCAAACGTATTGGATAGCTTGTCGATATCATTCAAGTAAGATCCAAACAAGGACGAGCTAGTTCTATTAATTGTGAATCATAAACTAGTATAATTAATTAGCTTTAATTTAGGTTTCTTTTTCTATAAGTAGATCTGAAAAACATTTCCCTTCTTTTTCTTTGTGGGGAAGGAGTGAGTGAAGGACTATAGGAGAGAGTCTTCTTTAAGATAAAATTCTCCACTTTAGTTATGCCTTGAAAAAAATCATGGTGATAATGATTATGCACTCTCACACAAATACTCAATTTAATGTGATGAAAATTATCAAAATACAGGAGTATCTTAATTCAAAGATATAGTGAATAAATTATATAAAGTAGAAAAAAACAACTTGGCAATATTTTTATGGTTGTATATATTAAAAAAATTGTTCCCTCTGCCAATAAATAAATAAACTAATAGATTATTATTGGTGTAAAATAGCAATATAATTGAGTTCTAAAAAATCAGTAAATAACATGGTATTTTTGAGAGAAATAGACATGGTAAAATCACTTATTTCCACATAATCACTTAACTATAATTGATTGGATTATTACAAGACATCATTTCCGATCCTATCATATTTATGTTAAGGACCAAAATAAAACGTTTGTGTATTCATTTTTAAATATTTAAATATTGCTATAAAACTACAATTGAAAAAACTTAAGGGGGCTGAATAAAAATAAAAATCATTTAGGTCACAGGAAATGTTTTGTGTTTTTAATCAATGGAAGTTGATGAGAGAGGTTAAAAGTCTTTTCTTCTTGTTTTCTGACTTATAACTTGTGTTTGTAACTTCTGTTTGTAATACTACCTCCAGTTTTTAATATAAGACTTAATTAACTAATTAAGAAAATTTAAAAAATTAGTTAAGTTAGTTATTTGTTATAAATAGGTGTTGTCTTTCCTAAAATACCCTTACTAATCACGTATATTAGCTAGAATTACCATTTGATGAAGTATTTAACATCTACAACTACTATAAGTATTACTTTAAAAAATAAATAAATATGAAAGATAAAAAATTAAAATTTATATTTAAAACTAAAATTAAAGCCAGACAAGCTCTTATAATAATGAGAGGAGGTAGTAGTATACTGTATCCATTCAAAAGAAAAAAATCATTCATGTGGATTCTACCTCCCCTCGAGAATGATATAGTTCTGGCTCGTTTATGTGGACAGATCGTGCAAAACAAGAGGCCCGAGAAGAATTCAGCGATTGGCCGCATGGTTTGCTTGCAATAGGAACTTTTGGGAACAAGAATGAAGTCAAAGCAAATCCGGAGACCCAAAACGCTCATGGCGAAGATGAAGTAGTGGATTTCACTCCTGAAGAAATTGGGAACCTCCAGAGGGAGCTCAATAAGCTCTTGAGACAGAAACCCAATGTGGAGAAGGAGATCGCCGAACTACCTCTCGACAGGTTTCTCAACTGCCCGTCCTCCTTGGAGGTCGATCGAAGGATCAGTAATGCTCTGTCCAGTGATTCAGATGATAAAGAACAAGATATTGAGAAGACCCTTGGTGTCATCCTTGGTAAATGCAAGGACATTTGTGCAGATAATACCAAGAAGGCCATTGGGAAGAAGCCAATTTCTTTTCTTCTTAAGAAATTGTTCGCTTGTAGAAGCGGGTTTGCGCTGCCACCAAATCCTAAAGATATCCTGCAAGAATCAAAAATGGAAAAGGTACACCACCAGCTCGATTATGTTACTCTGAATTTTTTGCTTCTTTAAATTCGTGACTTTGCAAGGTGAGAAAAACCAATATCTAAGGGTGATTAACTGTGCGGCAGGTCATCGGTATTAGGAAGCAGAGATTTTGACACGATGTGAACACTATGATTGGATTAAATGATATGTTGTTTTAGCATATTTTAAAGCATTGTATTGCCTGTCATGTAAGTACTGTATAAGACAAATCAAGAGCCTGCTTTTAAAATTGCTCTGCTTTATAGCAGCCACATAAACCTCAGGACCTGATTTGTATATAATTTTTGGATCTCCAAGTTTATAATATGCTTTTGAAGTACGGGGTTCTTCGAAGGTTCCAACCACTTCATAAATCCATTTTGAAATGAGTTGACCAAGTCAAGGCACTATTCGTTGATCTTATATGTATTTTCATTTTGTGTTATTTGCGTATCACGCCGAAGTAGTATTATTTAGTGCTCTACTACATGTTTCCTTAAAATCTTTCTCATTTTTTCCCCATATATGCAGCTTTTAAGGACAATTCTTCACAAGAAAATATACTCCCAAACTTCTCGATCACCGTCAATGAGAAGGTGCTTAGAGGACAAGAAGATTGCAAAGAGGAATGATGAGGAAGAAACAGAGGAGAGAACTGACGATGGCTGTAAATGGGTTAAGACTGATTCCGAATGTAAGTTGACATGAATCTTTCGATGCTGTTTTTATGAGCCATGGAAATTCCAAAATGGGGGGCATGGGTGGCACAGACTAATGTGATCCTTTTATTATTGCAGACATCGTCCTAGAGATATAAATCTACCTCTACTAGTTACTGCCTTCTTATTTACATGCTCAGGTAAGTTATCAAAGAAACTTCCCAATTCTATAACTGCATACAATTGAATTTATTGAAGATTGATTTCATACATTAAGTAGTTGCGTGAAACAGTTATAAGTAAAGCAAGAGATCTTGAGTAGAAAAGAATTGTCCCTTAAAAGGGTAGCCCTTCATCCAAACAGTATCAGAAAATAAAAAACTTCATGGGCATTTTTGAACTGAACCATGTGCAACTTTATCTGCACGTTTTACATTAGGACTAAATTAGATTGTTGATATAGCAGACAATCCTAAGCTCCGTCTATGCATTAACTTTTGTGTGTGTGTTTTTGTGTGTGTCCAAATATATCAGAAAAGAAAATTTCTCTGCACTTCTCGCATTCGACTCTAGTAAACAGTTAATACAGCAAATAATCTTCCATGTTTTGCATCTTAGCATACCGGCATCTAACCTCACACACTAATTTGCAGATTTACAACCTTTGTCGTGCGGGCCTCAGGTTAGGTCAACAAGTTAAAGATATACATAAAACAAGATGGGGGTTGTGGAGTGAAGCTCACTTTTTTAAAGGAGAGTTTATCTGTAACACTGCACCAAAATGACAGGTGCAGATGCGGAAGATCTGTTTGGTTGACACTTAGCAGTGCCAGCTTCCTCCTTTTTTCATGGTTGTATCTGCGGATGCAGGGCAGCTCATGTTACAGAAAGTCATAGCTTTGCAGCCATCTGCACTCACAATGCTACGCTTTCTGAACACACACTATTATTACCTGTCATACCACTTTGTTTTCCCCTCTCCTAGTTTGTGAGCTTCTCTGTTTCTAAGAAGATTTGGCAATGAGTAATCTACAGAATTATGTAGTTCAGTATGGTTGTTTCATTCTTGTGTCTGAAAAAGCTTTATCTATGACCTCCTCCAGGTAAATCCAACTTTTCCATAGTGAAAGTCATGTACCATAGATAATCTGTGACCAAGTGTATAAATATATTTAAGAGAGATTTTTATGACTGTGGCCATAATTTTTTCGTTATTATTGTTTATATAATCAGTGAGGCCTATTTAATTGACAACAAAACTTATTTATTGAATTATAAAATTCTAATTCAGTCAACAATAATATAAGAAAGTCAGATATCAACGTAGTTTTAAGACTAATATACATAACTCAAGTAATAAATAAAAATGTTATCTTTATCCATAAATGGCGTACAGAATTGATAAGTTTTAGGTGGGAAAGGCTTGGTATCTTGAGTTGGAAAAGATTCCACGCTAATTAAATCAAATTCTGCTCATTAGTAGTCTTTTACTTTTTGTCAAACTTTTCTCGTTGCCTCAGAAATTAGTAATTATTTGGAATCATATTGAGAGATGACTCCAAAACATTACTGTGAATATTGGCCTTTGAACTTGTCCAGGTAAGTTACAATAATTTTGAATTTTTTTACAGTCAAGATGACTCTAGAATCCTGAAGTATTTTATCAGCTAAATCTAATTTCGTAAAATATTTTGTAATATATTCAACAATCTAAAAAATATTTTTTATCAGATTCATTCAGTATCCTAAAATATCTTATAATTTATTCAGTGTCTTGAAATTTTTTTTTAAGTGCGTCAAACTTCGTAAAAGATATTGGAATTTTTTTTATGGTTTGAGGAGTTAATGATGCAGTTAAAATTGATCATGAAGTAATACTTTAAAGGGCGAATCTCAGGAGAAAAAGTTTAAAATTATCAAATCCTAAATAAAATTTTTGTACAAAAATATGTTATTATTTGCAAATCTGTTATAGTCAAAACCTATTAAAGTGTTATTAGCAAAACTTGATTTGGGATTTAGCAATTTCAAACTTCTTTATGTAAAATTCTCCCTACTTTAAAGGGACAATTGCTTCTAAACAAATTAATATTTTAAGAATAAAATTACACTAAAAAATATTTTAAGTTCAAATTGAATGCAACTGAAAAGATATCTCAGGAGTACTACAAAATAATTGACAAAATACTTTAGTAATTTAACCCATTTTTATATGCCAATATATGATTGTATATCTGTATCTCATAAGAAATTTGAAGCAACCGTTGACGAATTATGGGCAAATGAAGCATTGGTTAAGTAGTGGAAAATGTGAAGTTAAATTATAGAACAAAATACATTGACTACTATTCTATTTTACTTAAATTACAGAAACCTCCTCTCTATTTTGAAAACAATATAAACTTCATTTCAAATTAAAATGTATGTTACACAAACCTTTCTTATATTTTTAAAATTCAATTTCCATCCATCCAACTATTAGTTGACCATTAAGTTTGACTCTTAAATTTTTATTTTGGCTAAAATATCTCTCTTTAACATAAATATTATTTAAAAATTTATATCTTTAAAAAAATAATTTTTGATACAACAAAAAATAATTATAATACATGTATTTTCAAAATTTTTAATTTCAATTATATTATAAAATTATATAATTTTAGTTCCTCATAAAATATTGAAAAGTAAGATTTTTTTTAAATGGTTAGAAAATATTTAGAATGCTTATTTTCTCATCACATAATATAAATTATGCGAGTTTGGAAACTTATATAAACCATTTAAATTTATGTTTGCATGAACTAAATTACTTAATTTTTGGCCTAATACAATCAAAACATTAAAAAACAACAATTTTCAAAAATAAAATAAATAAAATTAAGATAAAGGTGAAAATTTTAAATTCTTCGATATAGTTTTAATCAAGATTTTGGGATTTAGTATTATGAAAGGTAATTTAGCAAATAGAAAGTATTTCAATATAAATTTGAATTTAAGAAAATCTCTTTAAAATATTCTTAACAAAGTTAATAGTTTGGATTTAAGTGTATGTTTTCAAAATAAAAGAGAAGTCTGTATAATTAAAACAAAGTACGAGGGAAGTTATAGTATTTTACTCTAAATTATATCTTGAACGTAGTTTATTCGAATGAGAAAATACCATTTCATTTCCACTCCAACACGCAATCATCGATCGGCAATCAATTGAACATGCAAGCCGAAAAATTATTACATACTCCCTCCAGTAATCACAATGCCCGAACCCTAGAAATTAAGCAAGCTAACCCCATTTATCCCATCAAAATTTTCCGGCATTTTCTGGCGCTTCCCTCTTAAAAAGTCTTTCTTTCTACGAAAATTCATCCTCCAAAGTCCAAACTCTTGCGGTGCCTTGACCGAAAACAAATAACTAATAAACAAAAACTCTTGCGTTGCGATTGGATCTGAGGGCTTTTCTATTTTATTGCCCAAACGACACACTTCCATCGGGAAGAGAAACCGCTTTTTCTTTTTCATTTTTTTTTAGCCTCCCTAATCATCATTCGTTCTGTGTGATTCGATCGGAAACTCGAAGCAGTTTCTTTCTGTTAGCTTGCCGAAAGTTGGGTTTTTTTTTATTTTTTACTTTCTTTTATTATTGTTCTGGTGGTCGCTCTAGAATTGGGGTTTTCATTTTGTTGAAGTGTTGAGGGACTTCAGAGTTAAGAGTCGAGTTGGTGCTGCCAATGCCATTGGTGTCGTTTCTGGGGAAATTTTCGGTGGTTTTTGAGATACCGAAAAACTTTGAGCTCAACAATGTCCTGGGCAGGCCCTGAAGATGTCTACCTTTCCACTTCACTCGCTAGTTATCTGGACAGTAAGTACTTTTTCTTTATATATTCTTTCATGTTGATATACATTGGAAAGATTATTTGAAAAATCGTTGTCTGCAAAGTATAGCAGAGCCATGCCGGGTCTGACAGTCAAATCAGATTCGGTGCGATATTTCGTATTACATTCAAATACTTATTTTGGATTATAGTGCTAGAACTTTTCATTTCTTGATTGGGCTATCAAGATTGGAAGTTTTGCTTTGCGGTTACTGCTCACAAATTGATGTGATCTAAGACTTTCAATCATTGTCGAAGCCATATTTTTATCAATAATTCTCGGCTTTAATATTGGACGTCCTTTACTGTTTTCTTAATCATAATCATTTGTTGGGGAAGAGGGCACTCTGTCAATTGTAGATGATTGGGGCGCATTTTATGCATGTTAGTTTTGGGCTGTGGTTAAGAACATGGTTTTGACGCTTCCTACTGGTAGTTTTAGAACTTATTGATTGTCAATTCCTTGGATTCAGGCGAATTGTGATAATTCTCTGCCGCTAATTCTGAAAAGTAAAGGTTATGAGAGACATCATTTGCATTGGAAGGGCCTTATGTTCATGCATGATTGTGTGTGATAAAATAGCAACCATTATACAAGGACATACTAGGAGACAGCATTTATGACTTGCAGGGTAACATGATGAATTAGGTCTAAAGTCCAATACTTGGCCTCTTTCTTTTTTTGTTGCATTTTGGAGATATTTGTTTTTCATTATCATCTATTGGTGTTCTTCCTTCGGGTTACCATAATTTCCATTGCTACTGCCAAAGCAGGATAAACATGAGCCTCTTATAATCTTATTCTGTTGTTGTGTGACCTCATACTGCCGAAGTCTTGCAGCTCATGGATAAATGAAAAGATTAAAATGGTTTTAATTTGAAATCTTGATTCCTTCTGAGCTTTCGATGAATAGACTAGATGTAATAGTGCCTCTTCCTTATGCAGCTTACAAATCCTCATGCAAGGAATTTTTATCTATAGATTGTTTTGAAAGCAATAAATTCCAGCAATGATTGTAAATTTTGATTCCCCCCCCCCCCCAACATGGGCGAATCTGAATTTTTATTTTGTTTGTGTGCCAGTTTTGAATGGTCTGACACTATTTTGCTATTGTAGAGAAACTTCTTGTATTGCTGAGAGATGGTAGAAAGCTACTGGGAACACTTCGCTCTTTTGATCAATTTGGTAACCTTCTTTCCTCCTATTATGTAAGTTTGGACATAGTACATGATGATCATCCAAATATTCATATTAATGATATGCAGCTAATGCTGTTCTTGAGGGTGCCTGTGAGAGGGTTATTGTTGGTGATCTGTATTGCGATATCCCTTTGGGTCTCTATGTAATCCGTGGGGAGAATGTTGTTTTGATTGGTGAGCTGGTATGGTTGCTGATTAGATTCCTTTGCCTCTGAATCTTTTATACATCCCAACCTCAATCTCAGAAAGAAATTTTTCCCCTCTTTTAGGACCTGGAAAAAGAGGAACTTCCCCCACATATGACACGTGTTTCAGCTGCAGAAATTCGAAGGGTAATTGTTCCTATGTTGACACTCTTTTCTTTTATAGGCATTCTTTGTGTCTATTTTTTGTTTACAAATTATTTCCTACAGTGACCTCCATGGCCATTGCTGAGCGGATTTGTGCTATCTAATTTGATGTAAGGGTGGGTATTCATAGGCTTAGTTTGGTCTGGTTTTGGATTGATTTTGATTTGAATATTTGCTTGATTGTTAAAAATGAAGCTCGTGTCTATACCATCAAATGTTTATTCTTTATGTAAAAGGTAGTAATTTAACCAATCTAGCACAAAGTGAAAATCAAACCAATTAGGTTTTTTTTTTTTTTTTTCATGCAACAAATCAATTTGGACCTCCTTTCTTTCAGTTTTGGTTTGTCTTAATCAGTTCAGTTTGATTTGGCTTTGAATACCTGTGACGAGACACTGGACTAACTGATTTTTGATTGGCATAACATAAAATTATTTTCCACGCCAGCCCAGAATTTATGCAGTTTATTTTCTTTGGTTTTTGAACGTGAATGTGAATTTTTGCAGGCACAGAAAGCAGAAAGGGAGGCTACAGATCTGAAGGGAACAATGAGGAAGAGGATGGAGTTCCTGGACTTGGACTAGTAAACCCTACATTCACACATCCTTGCCTTTTCTGTCCGCAAATATTATAGCGGCTGCTTTTCACGCTCTCTCATTCTCTCTTATATTTTTCTTGTGTTGGTAACTGTTTAGATGTAATTGTAGGAATTAGGAGGATTGAACGTTGCTAAATATTCTTCTTTGTGATATTAGCCTGAATGAATACAGGTTGATTCCTTTTCTTGAGAAAATGCTTTTGTTGCCATGATTTCAAGGCCTCAACACCTATCTGTTTGGAAGTACAGGGGAATTAATTTATCATCCTATGCGCAGCTTTCCCAATTTAGATTCCCTCCCTCCCTCGTCACTTGAGGGAATCTTAGTTGGAGGGACTAAAGTCTTGTCTGTTAGCTAACCTAGAGGTTGCATTTTTCGTAGCATGCCATGGACAGTGTGGCTTGCTCTTTTGGCTTCATACACTCTCGGCTTTCTGGCCTTTGTGGTTCAGTGTTTATCCTGAATCTGCAATGGCATGGACTTTGATTTTGAAATCAGGCTTACCAAAACTCATGGGAACAAGGTTGTGACTTAAGCCTTGGTTGTTTAAGGCCGACACAGTTAGGCCTTTCAGGATCCAGCTCATGATGTTCGTTCACTTTTAAGTTTTAACGGGTCTCAAAAAAGATCTGAAGGTCTGAGAAAGCATACTGATTAACAATGACGATAATTGATTTTTTTTCCCATTATATAATGCTTGTTTGGCATTACTTATATATGTAAATCTAGGAAAAAAAAATTTTCACATACTTATCTTATATTATATTTTGTAAATCACAATTGAAGTGCTGTTTATAAGTTATTCTAAATAAGTTTTTGATAATAACCGACAACAATTTTAAAACTGTAAGTTCTTAGAAAGCATTATTGTTTTATAAAATTCAAAATTGCACGCCAACTAAGGTTCAAGGGTTCTAAATTTGATATTAGGGGGTGTTTGGGACACTTTAAAAGTGTTTTTTTTTTTTTAAAGTTTTGTAAGTTGAGACATTTTTTTACATATTTATTTGGTATATAGTAAAATCACTTTTAAAATTATGGTTTGATTTTTATTCAAACAATCCTTAGGTAGTAAAGAAAATGGATTAAGAAAGTGTCTGGATAAATACCAAATCAAGGGTTTAAAAATAATTTTACGATATATAAAGTAAATATATGAAAAAGTTTGTCTCAGAAGATGTTTGACATTTGTAAAAAGTATTTTTCTGAAAATCAGGCAAACTCTTTTATATATTTATTTAATATGCTGTCAACATACTTTTAAAATTATGATTTGAATTCTATCTAAACACCCTCTCAATTTGTTAAAAAAAAAAACTTTTTAAAAGCACCTTTTTAGTTATTTAAACACTCGTTGAGAAGTTTTGCCAGAGTTGGGTTTCACTCCTAGTACGGTGACTACGGCGGTGACGGGTTCTTTATGCTCTAAAGCTTTGGATCAAAGTTGCAAGAATATCTACCTTGATATAATAACGACTCAGTGAAGGCTCCAAGTCTTTGAACCCTCTATCTAAGGAACACCATGCTCACCCCCCACCGCTACTTGTAAGTGATATCCCCGATCAAATAAGAACTACCGTCAAGTTAGTTTTTCAAGAGCGTGACTTCTTCAAGAGGTATTCCTAATTTGTATTTTTTTTTTGTGGGTTCGCTAATTAAGGAGATTATTTTATGAAGCTTTTTATTCACTGTAGGAAAGATTCAAACTTAAGGCTCTAAGTCTTTGGATTTTACAAATGACAGATTGGATCATTGATTCGTTCTGTCATTGACACAATTCCAGGATCTAATCTGGAATTTCGTATATTTCAAGGGTTTTTTTTGGATTTTTCCTTAAATTAACTTGAAAAAAAGACAAAAACAAATACATTTAAATATACAAGATCCCATATTAGTATTAGTGAAAAGTAAAAAAATCATATCAGAACAAAAATACTGATTTGGTATTTTTAAATGTTGGTAAAAAACAAGCATATCCTTAATATATTGACAAAAGGAAAAACAATGCGAAAAGCTAATATAGTCTATTTATATAAAGTATTGTCAATCGATATGAAAGAGTTGTCAATACTCTTAACAAAAGGCAACATGTGATTTGCCCAGGTTTTCTAATTGATTTGTTTTATAATGAATTCTGTTGATTATTTATTCTCAATATATAAAAAATTGTTGCCAATCTATTCATAAGAGTCGTTAATATGACCCTAACTGATTGGCAACATGTGATTGGTCCAAGTTTGTCTACTAGTTTGCCCTGTAATAAATTTTTCTAATTACTTATTGTTGCCGATACATATAAAAATGTGTTGTTAATATATTTGAAAAATCGTCAATATGCCTAACAAAGTTGTAATGGATTTTTCTAATTACTTGTTGTCATGTTGACAATTTATTTAAAAGAATTGTCAATGATTTTAATAAAAATGGAATGAATTTTCCTAACTACTTATCAATACATATAAAATTATTGTTAACTTATTTGGAGGAACTGTCAGACATGCCTAGTAAAGTTATTAATGTATTTATGTGATGATAATTGGTGTGGTCTGTTATAACTTATAAGTTTCCCACATTGTACCAACACTTTTTCCAAATTTCAAAATTGTTAAAAATAAATCAGCATAGTCCTCTCTCTCTTGGATGGAAGAAAGTCGGATAGGTTGTCCACTCCATGATTGTGATACTTTTTGTCCAGACCTTTTTCCTTCCTTCGGCCTCGAATTCATTTTCTTCCACTTGCCTCTTCTTTTTTCATTTGGTTACTACTCTCAAAACAGCAAACCAAATCATTTTTTTACTACCCCCAAACTAAATCCATCAATGCCGTCGAGTCAAGAAAGGCAAAGCTGAGAGAGTCAGGTTTAGCAAAGATGATTCTACACTTTAAATCATCGCCGTCGATGGCCGCCAAGCCACCATCATTATAGCAAATTACCCAGACCTTGTCGATATTCTCACCATGAATGGCCAATATTTCCGTCTCCAAAGGTGATTTGGATAATGTGTTGTTTAATTTCATTAACAATTTGTTGCTCCCATTCCTCACATTTACTGGGCGGTTCTGACTCTTTCACCGGGCACAGGGAGGACTTAATTCGATGGAGATAGAGCTGGTGGTGGGGTGATTGTGAGAACGAGAAAAAGTGAGCAGGCAATTGGATAAAAAAAAGAAGGAAGAGTGAAAAATCAGTGAGGACATTGTGGTAAATTAACCACATTCAAAAATCCTAATTTGATATCTGGACACTAAAAGGGTGTTTAGAAACACCCAGAATCACTTTTCAGTAGCACTTTTCTGCAAATCGAGACAATCTCTTCCACATATTTACTTCGTATTCCGTAAAGCACTTCTGAAACCATAATTTTGTTTTATCCAAACACCCCTTAAGTTCGAGTAAGTGGAATTGGAATTACTGATATGGAATTTTCATATTTTAATAATATTTATTTAGAATTTTTCTAATTAATTTTCTGCTTCCATCCCCTCCTTTCTCATCCTTATAAAATTGAAGTGGGGGAATTTATTTTAAAAGAATTATAATAGGGTTAAAAAAAACAAATAATTATAAAATAAGTTTCAATAAAAAATTATCATTACCTATTTTACAACTTGTTATTAAGACTGTTTATATTACTATTAATATTTACTAGTAATTATTTTTTTTTTGGGATTTTATTGTAATTTTTTCTCTTTTTTTTCCCGTTCTGACAAAATTGCCTGCAGTTTTCTTCGGTAGTCCGGTATTGCCCTTTTAACTTGTAAACCCTTCTCGTTTCTTGCTTTTCGGGGCTCAGCCGCTCTTCTTCCCTCATCGGTGCCTGGCGCCTCTCCTCCTCCTGTCGTCGTCGACGCCACCTGGTCCTGCAGCTGCCACGTCTCTTCTTCTATCCATTTTCATTGTCTTCAGGTGAGTATCTCTCTTAGGTCATATCGATTCTTATGTTCTTCATCGTTGTTCTTGCTCATACATATCTCAACTATCTGGTTTCATGTTTCTGGTTTTATTTCCTTTTCTTCTTCGATTCATATTTCCCGTTTCTTCTTTGTTCCTAGTTTCTCTTAGAATTAGTCGAACTTAAAATTTTCTGACTTGCAATAGGATAAACCAAGAGGCGTCCTAAGTTATTATATAAGGGTACATTAGAAATTGAAGTCAGACCAAACGAAACCAAAAGGCTGGAGTTTATAAATGCAACACATAAGTTAGTAGTATCGATATGCACTTTGAAGAAGATTAAGTTGAAAATTGAAATAGCTTTTTGGTTAAGACATCCTTGATTGAGTTCCATGTAACAGTTTCCATAATGAGCCAACCCTCGACATCTGTGAGGAATGCCATATGTTATATATAATGAATGTTGATTCTGCCTATGTAGCTACAGCCTTTGGTAAATATGACTTCCCTGTTCCAGGGCACCATCCAAAGCGATTGTATTTGCGTTGGAATCTTGTAGCTACTCCCTCCTCTTCTCTTCCCTCCCCTCCCCTTCGTTGAACCAAACACACCCTGAAGCAATCTCGCGTCTATCATCTCATATCTCGCCGTTGTCGAAGTGGAAGACTCAATCTTTGGCAATGGGTTAGTCTTGTAATGTTCTATCCATCTTTGATTTGTGATTCTTCCATTAATCTTGGCCGTCGCGACTGTTTTGGTTCTAGATGGCTAGAGAGAAAGCCTATAGGTCTACCACAAAGCGCAAGTTGGGTTCGTCGATTTTCGTTCTTGACTGTTAAAAGCTGTGAAATATCTCACTTCTTAATTTAAGTTGTATTTGTCATATTATTCTGGTTGTTTTTTCAGAGAAATAAACCATTTGGTACCAAACTGAATCTTGCTTACTCCTACCACTTGTTTTTACAAATTTTAGGTCCACAATTCTTATTCGCTATTGTTTTGTTGTGCGTTGCAAATTCCATGATGAACTCCGAGTTTCATTTCCGAGTATGCATTGGGAACTTGATTCTCCAATGCAGTAGCACAGTGCTAAAGCCACCCGTTACAGTTGTCTATTTTGGACCCGTCATTCCATAAATCTACTGTCCTTATAACACGGTGCTGCTCCATTTGTTTTTTATTTTGGTCCTTCTAATTTTGAAATCAGCTTCATGCTTTGTATTGTAAAGTCCTGATTTGTTAAAGTGCTGCAAAAATTTGACTCATCGTGAATCTCTATTTGAATGTCAAAACAGGATCCTTTGTTGCTCGTGTATTCTGGCTGTGGGTTCTGATAAATTTTGTGACATAAGTCTGGGCTGCCTTATT